AAAGACATTGCTGTTACAATGCTGTGCCTAGTCTAAAGCACTATATTGTCTGAATTCTTAAGACTATAAAAGATAAGAAAATATCAAAACTGAGACAAGTATCCAAGTAAGTTCCTTCTCTAGATTTCTTTAATGGTATTATTTTTGACATGTAAGGAAAGGATAATAATAACTTCTTTGTTACCTCACAAAATTGCATAAACAAATCAAGAAATATAATGAAATGCAAATTGTTTTGAAAACTGTGGAAAGCAATTTAATAGCAAAAGACTATATTTAGTAATTAACAATTATCACATCAAGAATCTTGCTTAGAAAGAAAGAGAATCCAAAATTTGAGTTCAGTAATGTAACTGGTCTACAGTAATCTTGCTTGCTTTGTAATTTTCTCATTCCTTTCCCCTCTGTGAGTTTAGATTCTAGGCCACTTAATAAATATGTAGGATTGTTAAGTATTTCATTTTTGTTAGCTGACGTCACTTCTTTCTTATGAGAGGAAAGAGGGATATAGATATTTGAGGAATAATTGAAGGATCGGATAATCAAGATAGAATTTTGAATTTGAGAAAAGTACTTTGTTAACCTAATTCTGATCCAAACCCGGTGTCTAAAATACTTCAATCCCATTCATCTAAATTTAATATTTGTGATGGTTTTTAGAAATGAGGAGTGATTACCAGAGTGTGTGATGAATCTTCTCTGGATTTACATCATTCCCTAAATGAAATAGAGGAAAAACCCTATTTACAGGAGCCAGCTGACAGGAACTTCCAACATTAGGGGTGCTCCTTGAATCTTCTTTTGGCCACTTTTTCCTCTGGGAGATAGTTATCAGTTCCAAACCTCTTATTCATCATTTCAGTAGGTTCTGTGTGTTAGTGAGTTCTTTGCCAGTAATAAGGAAACTGACTCCTTCAACCTTTCCTCATAACAGAGATTCTTGAGAGAGGCAGTCATCTGTTGGTTCTTGTGTTCCACCCCAACACCATTTCCACACCTGGGAATACTGTCCATTTGAGTTAGATATGGGATCATCAGAGCATGTTACACAGTCACCAATTCTATTGTTGGGCATTAAACTTTTGTATCGTAATTATGGAGTATGTGGTTGCGTCTCATTTCATATGTTCTGAAAGGAATGATGAAGGTTAAAAATATTAGAATATCAATATCTAGAAGAGATTTTTATAGAAAGGTACAAGGAATCAATGATGGTTGAAACCCAGCACTGATTTGGTAGATTTTAAGCAGTTAATGGTTTGATTTGTTTTAGGCAGTGTAATTTAGAATACAGTTACAAAATCAAAAAAGGTAACATCTATTATTCTGTTTTAATTTTATTTCAGAACATGATAAGGGAGTTACTTTACACTGAATAACCTTAAAATCTGTTATGATCCATGTTCAAGAGATGTTGACTTCCCGCCGGCTCCGCGGCTCAGTAGGCTAATCCTCCACCTTACGGCGCCGGCACACTGGGTTCTAGTCCCGGTCGGGGCGCCGGATTCTGTCCCCGTTGCCCCTCTTCCAGGCCAGCTCTCTGCTGTGGCCAGGGAGTGCAGTGGAGGATGGCCCAAGTGCTTGGGCCCTGCACCCCATGGGAGACCAGGAGAAGCACCTGGCTCCTGGCTCCTGCCATCGGATCAGTGCGGTGCACCGGCCGCAGCGGCCATTGGAGGGTGAACCAACAGCAAAGGGAAGACCTTTCTCTCTGTCTTTCTCTCTCACTGTCCACTCTGCCTGTCAAAAAAAAAAAAAAAAAAAAAAAAAAAAAGGAGAGAGATGTTGACTTTCCTTATAATCTTAGAAATTATTTAGGATAATCATTATTATTATAAAATGAAAGATCAGCTGTCATTAACTGTAAAGCTTATCACAAGTACTTGGTGTTGTTCTAAGCATTGCAGGCACACACAGACAGACAGACATATATGAATTCTAAAACTTGTAAAATTGTACAATGTAGATATTACTATCTCTGTTTTATATATTAGCAGACTGAGGCTCGGGGAAAATAAGTGACTTCCTCAAGGCAACATAGCTAATAATTGGTGAGACAAGATTGGGATCCTTGGGTCAGTATTTAGTATAGCAGTTAAGTAATGATTGGGATGCCTGTGTCTCATATCAGAGTGCCTGGATTCAAGTCCCAGCTCTGCTGTCAGTTCCAGCTTTGTGCTGATAAAGACTTCAGAGGCAACAGTGATAGCTCCAGTAGTTTGTTCCTGCCACCCACTTGGGAGACTTGGATTGGCTTCCTGGTTTCTGTTTTCATCAGTTCCCACCATTGTGGGGATTTGAGGAGTAAACAGGTAGATTGGTGGATTGTATCTCTCTCTCTCTCTCTCTCTCATGCCTTCTACCTCTGGCTCTGGCTCTCATCGTTTCAAATTGAAAAGACAAGATTAGAAATAGATTTCCTGCTGGTGCCGCCATGGCTCAATAGGGTAATCCTCCGCCTGCGGCACCGGCACCCCGGGTTCTAGTCCCAGTCTGGGCACCGGATTCTGTCCTGGTTGCCCCTCTTCCAGTTCAGCTCTCTGCTATGGCCCAGGAGGGCAGTGGAGGATGGCCCCAGTGCTTGGGCCCTGCACCCGCATGGGAGACCAGGAGAAGCACCTGGCTCCTGGCTTCGGATCAGCGCGGTGCGCTGGCCACAGCGGCCACTGGGGGGTGAACCAACAGAAAAGGAAGACCTTTCTCTCTGTCTCTCTCTCTCTCTCACTGTTCACTCTGCCTGTCAAGAAAGAAAGAAAGGAAAGAAAGAAAGAGATTTCCTGTGGCCGGCGTGATAGCATAGCAGGGAAAGTTATTGCCTGCATATGGGCACCGATTTGTGTTCCAGCTGTTCTGCTTCTCATCCAGCTGCCTGCTAATGCCCTGGGAAAAGCAGCAGAAGATGGCTCAAGTTTTTGGGCCCCGGCCACCCACATGGGAGACCTGGATGAAACTCCTGGCTTCTGGCTTCTGCCTAGCCCAATGATAGCCCTTGTGGCTGTCTGGGGAGTAAGCCAACAGATGAAAGATTTCACTCTGTCTCTCCTTCTCTCTAACTCTGAATTCAAAATACATTCTAAATACATCTTTAAGAAATAAACACATAAGATATAAAACCAATGTCCATTATGACTTAATGGAAAAAGAGATCATCCATTCTCTGGTTCACTCCCCAGATGGCTGAAATCAGCCAGAGCTGATCCAGGCCAAAGCCAGGAGCCAGGAGCTTCCTCTGGGTCTCCCACGTGGATTGCAGGGGCCCAAGTACTTCTGCCATCTTCCATTGCTTTCTCAGGCCATCAGCAGGGAGCTGGATCAGAAGTGGAGCAACTGGGAAATGAACCAGCTCCCATATGGATGCCTGTGCTTTACCCACTGTGCCACAACTCCAGCCTCCAATTTGATTTTTATAGGAAAATAATTATTTTATGGGGCAGAAAGAGACACATTCTCACTTTGATGGTTCTCAGAATATTGGCATTATTCTGAAGTTGATCTGCCTTGATTAGTTTTATCAAATAACCATGAAAATGCCTTCATTTACATGAAGTGTAACTTTTCATCTATGAATGTGGAGACCTTGAGAAGTAGTGGAATTAAACTGGCTCTGGCCTCAGTCATCTTGGCATTGTTCTTCAGATGCTTTCTTAGGCTGATAGGGTGAAATAAACTGGTAGATATGAAGTATAGTTTGTGGAATGGAAAAAGAGACAAAGGAGAAGGAAAACTCTATAGAAAATGTTACTATATATCTTTGTATTTTATAGTTTAATTCTTCTTCCTTGGGATTCTAAAGAGTGGGGCAATGCAAGAATCAATTTAATTTAGGGAAAACCTGATGGAATCAAAAATTTTTAAGCTATAGTTTAGACAGTTATGGGCTATGGAAGGCTAAACTTTGAGTCTTTTTATAATGTTTGGTTAGAGTATAGAATTAAGTTTTAGAATATAAAACATCATTGAGACATAAAATTTTTAAAAAGTAGTTTTGAACAAGCTTTGTTTTCACAAAGTTTTCGCCCTTCCTAATGTAAAAGGGTGAAGCAGTGTATGGAAGGGAAAGAAGGCAAAACTTGTCTTGCGAGTGCTGGCTTTGCTTCTTCTATCCAAACTGTGTGCTCTTGGGAACATCATTTCTCCTTCTCCAAGTTCCTGTCCCCATGTGTATTCAATTTTGGGATTTTGCAGGTTGTCTCAGGGTCATTCAACTCTATGAGTTTGTAACACTGAATTCAGATACTTCAGAACATCCACAGAGGGAAGCGACAGAAATTCTCAGTTCTCAGTATAAGCAGTGCTCTCCAGGTGTGGAAATCTTTAAATCTGTACCTGACTTGCGGGACAACCAGTCTGTCTTCTCATGCCCTCCTCTCTCCCTTACACAGGAAGCCTAGTTAGAAGCTTATTTGTGGGGCCGGCGCTGTGGCACAGTGGGTTAAAGCCCTGGCCTGAAGCACCGGCATCCCATATAGGCACCAGTTCTAGTCCTGGCTGCTACTCTTCCAATCCAGCTCTCTGCTATGGCCTGGGATAGCAGTGGAAGATGGCCCAAGTCCTTGGGCCCCTGCATCTGTGTGGGAGACCCGGAGGAAGCTCCTGGCTCCTGGCTTCGGATTGGCACAGCTCCGGCCGTTGCGGCCATCTGGGGAGTGAACCAGCGGATGGAAGACCTCTCTCTCTGTCTCTACCTCTCTCTGTAACTCTGTCTTTCAAATAAATAAAATAAATCTTTAAAAAAGAAACCTATTTGTGTATGAGGTACTATGTCTGTGTTGCTGAGGAATTCAGTGTTTTGTATGTTTATGGAATTTTCAACTTCGTGTAGGGTCCTTAGATCTGGTCTATTGCCTTATTTGGGAGGTATTGTGAAAACACATTATACCTTAGAAACAGACATTATCTGCTCAAGTCTGCCACCCTGACTGCACTGTAAGGATGGAAGTCATTTGGTTTGGTATATTAATCTAGCATGAGCCTGACCAACTGGTTTTAGAATGTGTCACCAGTTGTGCCAGTATATAAAAAAGTGAGCTGCATCTCTACGAGTTCAGTCTTGGAGCACCAGCTGAGCAATGCACGGAGTAGACTTGTAGCTGACTTACATCATCTTCACCATGAAAACAGTCACAGTGCCCATGCTTCTGACCCTGGCTCTTTGCCTCATTCAAGGTGAGTAATTTGCATGTAATCTAAGCCTCTTGCCACACATCTCAAAGCTGTGGGGAAAGGACTTTTCTTCCCTTACCCCTGACCAGAAAATATTTATATGAGTATGTGTAACTTTGAATCTTGTGCCAGACTCAGTCTTGGGGATTTATGTAAGTGGCTTTATATTAGGTTGCTGTCTTTAACGTTGGCACATAGTCTAGTTTTGAGATAAACTGAAATTTTATCCATGAGAAATTCTTTCAGTAATTCTATATTCTGAAAAGTTAAAAGATTCTTCATCTTCCATTCACCAAGCATATCCATTTATACCGCATAGAATATAATATAGATATGTACACATATTTAAAACATATGAATTAATATATGTTTTTTATTACTGCACGTGTAGCTAAAATGTTTTTTAAAACAAATTCAATCGCCTCTTGTTTTAAAGCAGTAGTGCCATTTAGCTTATTTTATTTTTGTGTTTTCAAATCCTAACTGGATTGAAAGTACTTCTCCTAAAGTAAGAGGAACTTCTGTGGGGTTTTGTTTGTTGTTTGAATTTTGAAGAGAACACAGATTACCTAGACTTACTTTGCCCTGAAGCATTTGCACTTTTAAAAAGAGAATCTCAAAGAATAAATGAAGTCATTATACACAAATGAGTCCCTAAATAAGTGTGTAGATACAAAAGAGCCTGTTAATGTGAGTGTAGCAGTCCAATTTTAATTGATCTTAGTTTTTTGCAAAAATTCAGAAAATCTATTTTATGTGTATATAAATTGTATTCGTCAATTATGATTGGTATTGTGCATTAGATAGGTATGCTATGATTTTTAAGTAGATCATATTATACTTCGGCATTTTGGAAATGAGATACTTTGAGGCAATCAGAAAGTACATCAGTATTCTTTTCCAAGGTAATTGAACCTTTCTGAGTGATTGGACCTTTGTGAATGCATAAACCTGTCTTCTAGTGCAACAGTCTCATTTTATTTGCCGTGATAACCATAATGTGTTCAAAAATTGTCTGTAGTTTTACAACATATTGTCTTTAAAGCAATCAAGACACCACATGAATGAGTTATTTATTAAATATTTTACATTCCTTAAACTTTGGTTTCTGTATTTTTGTCCAGATGCTGCCAGTGAGGATGAAAATCAGGTTAGTCCTGCTTTGTCTATTCATTGAATTCATTCCCAAATCCTTAAGAAAAATGGTTTGTGGCCAACACCTTCATTTTGATAATACAGTTGTATTATACTGATAGGTACTAAGAGCTTTGGTTAAAAACATAAAAGCAGATCTTTATGAATCAGGACCTGGGTCTGTCAATCTCCTTCACTCTCTCTCTCTCTCTCCCTCTCTTGCTCTCTCTCTCTCTCTCTCTCACACACACACACACACACACACACACACACAAACACATACACATAATGATGACAGATGGCTATATGAGGCTATCTACCATGCTTAAGAGTACTTTAACAAGTTATGATACACCATGTAAGAAACTAAAATGACTTTTCTGGCAATCATTATGCAGAGTGTTGTCCGTATTTCATATATAGCCAGTGTATGTATTTCATCCAGTAAATATTTTATGAGCATCTATTATATATCCAATCCTATTTGATATGTTAGAGATAGTATAAAGTGAACATAATCATGACAGATAAGTTAAAAAGTAAATTAGCAAGATTTATTACTATATATTACTAAGATATATTGCATTAGCACATTAACTAATGATTAGTGCTAGAAGAAAAAGCAGGATGCCAGAATGGAATTCCAGGGAATGGAGGTCATGTCCATTCTTAACGGGATAGTTGAGGAAGTTCTTCTTGGAGAGATAGTACTAGAAAAAAGATCTGGAGGTCATGAGAGAGTAAGCCATGAAGATCTTTACAACTTATGGCAGACCAGGCAGAAGCACCTCTGACAGCAGAGACCCTGATGCAGTGGGGCATGTTAGCAATTCTGAAAGATCTTTTATTGGAAAAATAAAGGAATCAATTTCTATAGAACCTACATTATTCATCTATTTGAAAGATAAGAGGGCGTTTTTCTCTGTCTCTCTCTCCTACACACACACACACACACACACACACACATTATATCTAAACACATACCACTGTTCATGCCATTATATGAGCACTTAAAACAGTTCTAGGTATATATTAAAATTTGTTATATATCTCCAAGATTTTGAATATTAGGATAATAAAAACATGAATAGGTTTTTTTTACACCATAACTCTTGAGAGTGTAGTTAAAATACTGGCTCTCTGTATTTTATTGCAAGAATCTTTTAAATAAACTCTTAGGGATAGTCTAGAAGATTTCTTCATAGTCTCCATATTCCTTCTAAGTTTTCTGGTTAAGGAGAGATTCAGAAAGAATGATAGAGTAGATCAAAGGCTGGATTTGGGGAAACAAGAGAACATTTTCTCTTGGATGTTTTATATTAGAAAAATAGAAGGATATTGTGTGAATCTAACCGTATATAGAGTCATCATTTTGTTTTTCAGAGTCCATGGTAATGAGTGGTGATTTCTGGAACATATTATTATTTTGTACTGATTTTTTAATTTATTGTTAGCTATTTCACAGAAAAAGAGTTCTAAAAATAGTAGTTTAGCCACCTACTATATTGGCATAAAAGGCAAGAAGAACACAAAATAAACAGAAATATTCTTTGGATAATGTGTCAAAACTAGAAGCTATTGAAATAGCCTTGTGGTGCTGGATATTTTGTTATTTTCTAAATTCAATAGTTTGGGTTCTTTCTTGTGATGTAAAAATGTATAACATATTGAATATTATATGCATGAACTCAAATAACAAGGAAAAGCACTTAAGACCTGCAAGGATCTCAATTATATGCTTAAATTTGCCACCACAGAAGGTTTGTTATGAAGCCCAAAACACACTTGTTGGTGTCCTATAGTTGAGATGGATTAATGCCAACTCCCAGAGAAATTTAACTATAATGTCCCAGGTTAGACAGTGGATGAGGTTGTAGCCCATGAGGCAACCAGAAGGAATTTCACTTTGGAGGGCTCCAGGTTTTCCAAGACATGTGAAGAAAATGAGAACAGTAGCAACAATAGGAAAATAAAACAAAAATTAGCCAAGGGCTGGAAGTTATATTGCAAGTACATAGTTTCTGACAAAGATGACTCTTTGGTTGAGGTCTATTCCTGATTAAGTCCGCTCTGTTGTGGTAATTGAGGGAGGACACCATTTTCCCCAGAGAAGAATACAACTGCTAATATCCATACACTTTGTCTTTTCCTCTTTCTCAAGAGACTACGCTGGACAAAGGCATAAACAAGTTCTGAGATGACTGCATGGTCTTTCCATGGATTTGCAGTTTGATTCTGCAGATAGTGTTAGTTGGTAGAAATGGTGACTGGGGGAGGCAACGGGGGCCACTTTTTGAAAGGTGAATAAAAATTTGAGAGTCCAAATGGCTAAATCTCGTCTGAGATCTTGGGAGGAAGATGTGAGAGTGAAGACTTCTTAAACTTAAAAAAATAACATTTTTTTATTTATTTAAAGACAGAGATATAGAGAAACAAATATCAAAGGTTCTACTTGTTTTGTTTTGTTTTGTTTTCAGAAAAGAAATCAGTCTGGAAATTCCAAATGTGTATGACCAAGGAATCCTTCTTTCATTTGCCAACTGTTCACATTTCTAGCTGTTGGTGTCTTGCCGTATAGCCTTTAGGAAATGTGGGCACAGGCACTTTGTGGTTTCCAGTGCTCATATCAGAAACCTTGTCCTAGTCCTTTCACAATCAATCATTAGTGTTGGCCTGATATGTGCAAGGTGCGTTATATATGTCATCTCAGTATATTCCAGTAGTTCTAACAGCAGGCACTACCACACAATGATATAAAAGGAGAAACAGGAAAGAATGAGCATTTACTTACTGAATATCACTACATATCTTTGAGGGCTTTCCATACATAATAATAGCTAAGCTTCATAAATACACACACACACGTACATACACGTATATATCCACTGTTTTATTTTCAAAATGTTAATTTACTTCTTTGTTGCATACTTAAAGAGAGAGGGAGAAAGATATCTTCCATCTGCTGATTTACTACCCAAATGCCACAGCAACCAGGGCTGGGCCAGGCTAAGCCAGGAGCCCAGAATTCCACCTGGGTCTCTCACATGGATTGACAGGGGTCCAAACACTTGAGCTATCAGCTGCTGGCTCCCAGGACACATTAACAAAATGCTAGATATGAAGCAGAGGATATGAGACTCGAACTGGCACTTTTGTGTATGATGTAGATGTCCCAATCCACTGCACAATGCTCATCCAATATATCCCCTATTTTAGATAGCATAACGGAGCCTTTGAGAGGTTGGCTATTGAGGTAATAAATGAGAACCAGGGGAATATAACCTCAGCTCTTTTGGCTCCAACTCCCTTGTTTTTCTGTTTCACTAATTTTCAGATTACTACATATTATGCAAATTTGCAATCTCCACAGGCAAATCCAAGTCATTTTTTTTGTGTGTTATTTATATCAACTGAGTGTTTTCTGTACAAAGAGGGTAGTGGCCACTAAAATTATGTCTTTGCAAAAATTTATGAAGAGAGGAAAGTAGGGGTTTGGGGGAAGGAGGGAAATATGCTTATCTTGTTAGAAATGTACCTATGAAATGCATGAAATCTGTTCTATTAATTAAAAAAGAAAAGTTAAAAAACAAGTCTAAAAAATAAAATTAAAAAATACTGTTCAGGTAAGTTCATAGGAGAAAGCCTACTTTTAATGCTGTTTCAGTAAACACAACTTTTTTTGTTTCATCCTCAGGAAACATGCAGTAAATTTCGAATCTTGATGAAAAATGGAAAGTTGCTCTGTCCCCAAGATGAAAAACTTTTTCAAACCCCTGATTGGATAACATTCATCAACAAATGTGTCAAGTGCAAAATGATATTGTGAGTAAAGTTTCTCATTCATTTCACATGTTTGAGTTTCCGGCTATTCTCTGAAATAATAAATGTATTCCTTTTCTTTTCTTTCAATTGCATTTTTCTAAACCTGAATGGTAAAATAAAAATGTTCACTAGAATATTCTTACACATTCCATCAGATAAATTGGGCTAATTACTACTCACCTGGAAAGATTTTATTAACTCCACAAATAGGATTTGAATAGCATTCTGGAGAGCCCAGTGTTAATACAAGGGCACTCTAAAAAGCTCACCAAAAAATGTAATTATAAAATGTTTATTGGGGCCAGTGTTGTAGCATAGTAAGTTAAGCCACACCTATGAAGCCAGCATATCCTATTGGAGGACCATTTTGAGTTTCAGCTGCTTTACTTCTGATCCAGCTCCCTGCTAATGTGCCTGGGAAAGCAGCAGAAGATGACCTACATGGTTGGGCCCTCAATACCCACATGGGAATGGGAACTCAGATGGAGTTCCAGGCTCCTGGCTTTAGCGTGGCCCAGCCTTAGTTATTGCAGCCATTTGTGGAGTTAACCAGTGGATAAAAAAACTCTTTCTCTCTCTGTCTCCCCTCCGCCATCATGTTGGCTTTCAAATACAAAATAAATAAATCTTTAAGAATGTTTATTTTGTTATAAAAATTGTGGAAATCCATGCATAGTTTTTTTTTTCTCAATAGGCATTTTCTGTGAACTTTTTGGAGACCCATCATGCCTAATGTAGCACTGCATAATCTTTTGAGACTTTGACCTTCCTGGCTCTGGAGAAAAAAAGAATTTAAGAATGAAAGTCACATTCCTTGGACCTGTTGGGACCTGATTCTGTTGTAGCCTAGGGGCTGAGAAGCTCCTCCTGAGAAGGATGCCAGTCTCTGCTGTGGCAGCCAACCAGTAGAATGACTAAAGCAAAATACACTCTGGTTGTGTGAGCTGCCAGTGTCTTCAGACATCTGGGATTATGCCAGGATGAAGTGGACTAACATGTTGATTGTGACTTTCAACACTGCAGATTAGAAAGAATTAGTATTCTGGAAAATTACCGGTATCCATCCAAAGCTGTTTAACTCAGTTTCCCTCTGTCCATTGACATCTCAAAGGTAGAAAGCATCTTGTGTTATCAATTGCAAATCTTCAACCAGACTATCTTAATTTATTTTTGAACAGAGGAGTCATCCCAAATGTATGAGCATTGTCAAAACTTCCATATTGCTACCCAATCAATTCTAAGCATATTCATTTATTATAATTATGTTATAATTGGCTTTTTATATGTCAGGTTGGTGTATTGAGGGGATTTAACTTGACATGTTCAGTGATATTGGGATAATGAAGCTCCGACTGTAATTGCTGCTTCTAGTGAAGACACTGTAGAAGATGAAGAAAGGCAGATCAAGATTTGAGTGAGAGAAGTCTAGGAAAAGTTGAATAATCCTTTCTATTCTCTTAAAAAGCTCAATGTAAATCAGCAGGTATATAATTTGCCATAAATTTCCTTTTTTTCTACATAGGATGTTTTAATAGGAGAACTCAAACTTTGAATATAATACATGGATTGAAAAATAATATAAAGCAAAAATGAGGCTGGTGCCGGGGCTCACTAGGCTAATCCTCTGCCTGCAGTGCTGGCATCCCGGGTTCCAGTCCTGGTTGGGGTACCAGATTCTGTCCCAGTTGCTCCTTTTCCAGTCCAGCTCTCTGCTGAGGCCCAGGAAGGCAGTGGAGGATGGCCCGGGTACTTGGGCCCTGCACCGGCATGGGAGACTAGGGTGAGGTTCCTGGCTCCTGGCTTCGGATTGGCACAGCACGCCAGCCGTAGCGGCCATTTTGGGGGTGAACCAATGGAGGGAAGACCTTTCTCTCTCTCTCTCTCTTAATAAAAAAATAAAAGAAAAAAGAAAAAAATGAAATACCTGGAACCTCACAAAATAGTCACTTTGGATTCATTCACTTAGTTATTTTTTATTGCCTATGTAATTATATTGGGATAAACTACATTTCTTGACCCAGAAAGGGGACTGTGCGAGACATAAAAGCTATATTCAATTTGCTAAAAGGATCAGCATGTGGAAAAGCCTTTTGATTTGCTCCATAGGGCAACTGAGGTTGGAATCAAAAACATTACAGAAAGGCAGATTTTTGTTTAGTGTAAATATAGTCTTTGAAAGACTGCATTCACACAATGGCATGGACAGCTTTTAGAGTTGGTGATTAACTGGTTGTTGGACCTATTCAAGGTATTCAGGTAAAGGTAAAGATTCTTGTCAATAATATTCCACATTTGAGATATTTTTCCGTACTGCAGGAGTATTTGTGCTACTATTCCTATTTTTGGCCTTACATCTACTGCTGACATGCCAGATTTATCTGGGAAAGAGTCAAAATTGTTTAATATATAATCCTAAAAGTTGGTCAGACAATGTCTTAGGCTGTCTTATTCTTTATTCTCTTCTAGGGAAAAAGAAACAATACCTCAGAGAAAGGCCAGGCATTTAACAAGAACCACCAGGGCCACAGCTCCAGCAGAGGTGAGATGATTTGGAGTCAATCTGTCATGTTTGCTTTCAGAATAATGTTTTACTCTACGTAGAACTATCTATTTCCTAATTATGAGGTTATGCCAGTTTTGAAGCCAGCTACTTAGAAGGGAGGGAACACGGCTTAGTCCAGGGGTGGGCTGAGTATCTGGTATATCTTGTCCCTTGGCCCAACCCATGAGCTGACTCTGAAAACATTCTGGGCACTGAAAGATGCTCAGAGGTGTAGTAGGCCAGGGTGCTGCTGTCTGCTCTCCATGGCCAAGTCTCATTCCTCTTATCCTAACTCCAGTGAACTTTCCTGAGACTAAAGATCCAATATCTAATCTCAGAATTCTTATTGTCTATGTAACTAGGGCAGTTTTTTCATCTGTGACATAGGTTGTATATTAAAAGAGAAACTAACTATGAAAAGCCACCCACAATGGTTAATTTTGTGTTGCCAGGCATTTGACTCTATTTCCTTTCTCTTTTCCTCCTTTGCTTCCTACTGTGTGTCTTTTCTAATATCTGAAGGGTTCTCTGAGTTCAACTAGAATTGCTTGCTGTTATCTGTTTTTCAGTGTGGGACTCAGGCAAATGTCTTTTCTGAGAAAAGTATTTGGTGGTAAAAAAAATTTAAATATTAAATTAAATAGAGAAATTGCTCAGATTTAGCCCACCACAAAACCATTTCACGTTATAAATAGTTAATTAATAAAAAATATAAAAACAGAATCAAGAAAATAAAAACATGGCCCCAGATTGGTTGAAATTTCTGGCCTTCGTTATCTCACAATTACTTAACAAATCTGAAGCTGTCATCAGCTATTTTCACAACTACTCACATCACTCCAGTCCTGTGTGATTTCTTTTCTAGTTTAGTATTTCTCTTCCTTCTCTCTCAGGCCTAACACATAATTAAAATGATCAGTCAGAGCAGACGCACCCCTAATTACCTATAACATCCGTGTTCTAACCAAGCTGCCATCTTTCTTGGCAGTGTTACTCAGGTATGTCTGAGAACCTCAGCCTCCACGGTAAACATTGTCAAGTAAATACTTTGCTTTGGCTTAACCAGTCTCACTTTTAACACAATAACATGGTCACCACCCAACTAGTCAATAACTGCAAATCCTTTATCTGTCACAAAAGGAAGCTACTCCTGTATGCTACAGAAATCTGTGAGGGTTGGAAAGGTTTAGTGGCAACTTCTAATTCTACTTTTGTTTTTCACATTCAAAGTATAATCTGTAAGATTATTATTCTACTCCTCTTCCATAAAAGATAAAACTAATAAATCAATAGCACTTAAAATATGAAATATAAATAAATGACAAAATATCCCCCCGCACTTAAACAAATTTACTTTTTAAAAATATTAATGGAATCAATGTTTCTGCTGGTGGAAACAAATTTATTAAATTTTAATCAAATAGAAGTTTTGAGAAATAAGATTAAAGAATTTTAGGACATTTTACATATCTGCTAATATCTTATGTCTGAATTATAAATTTTGCCTGTAAATAAAATGCCTATGGCTATATGATTTCCTACCAGAAAATGACTATGTATAAGTTAAAGGAGTTAGTATCTCACTGTGTACTTTTCAAGTAATTTTTGTCTAGATTTTTATTTGTTTGTGTTTTGATGAATTCTTTCAATTATAATGTCATTTTCTTCTCTATTGTAAAACAGAAGAATCTACCCACTTTTCTCTCCGTAGATTCCCCCCATCAGAAATGAGCCCTACTATTCACGCTGAAAATAAGGTGCTTTACTTAAGAACTTTTCTGCTGCAGAAATCCTCTGTGTCTTTCTTATCAACTTCTTCATCATTACATCATTCTTTACCTTTCAAGTCATAGTTCACATCATCAACAAGTGTTGTTGGTTCTGCCTTCAAAGTGCATCTCAAATTTTATTTCTTTCCACCATTTCTTTATCATTCTAGTCTCCATAATTTGTAATCTCTCAGTTCTTTGGTCCATATTGATTCTTTTGCATTTAAAATGATGAATTAATTCATTCGATGTTTCTCATGATTCTGATAGCCAGTTTTATAAAATATTCAGAATGTATGAGTGTATGCATGTGTTTATAAACTCCTTGTTCTTTTTAGATTATTTAATTGCTTTAATAGCTAAGAAACTATTCAGGCAAGTCCCCTTTCTTAGAAAATGTTATTAACATTTGGCTTACATGTACATACATTTAATATTAGAAACAGAAAACCACTGAGGTTATTAAAAATTCAACCTGAATTTGGAAATTCAATGTGATCAGAAAGATGATTTATAAATTAATTTGGGTAAAATGACTTTTTAAATATTAATTTACCAAACTCAAGAACATAGAATATCTTATCATCAATTCACCTAATTTCTATAAATTACGAGAATATAATTTATGAAATTATTCTTCAGATATTTTAATAATTTTTGTTAACTATAAAATGTATCTTATTGATTTCTGCTGGTTAGTCTTTTATCAAACCACTTTTGGATATTGTCTGTTAATTCTGGTGGTTGATTCTATTGCTTTGTTCTTGGCAGATGATTTTATCTCCTGCATATAAAAGGATTTTTATAATTTCCCTTCAATATTATTACTCATTTATTTATCTTGCATTGCTTATATTTTTAGCATAGATTTATGATTCAGTAGTTTAACAAAAGTCATGATAATAAACATCAGAACTCCCTCCCATTCTCCTTCTCTCTGTATTTAAGGAATACTTTGGCCAGCGCCGCGGCTCACTAGGCTAACCCTCCGCCTTGCGGCACCGGCACACCGGGTTCTAGTCCCGGTCGGGGCGCCGGATTCTGTCCCGGTTGCCTCTCTTCCAGGCCAGCTCTCTGCTGTGGCCTGGGAGTGCAGTGGAGGATGGCCCAAGTCCTTGGGCCCTGCACCCCATGGGAGACCAGGAAAAGTACCTTGCTCCTGCCTTCGGATCAGCGTGGTGCGCCAGCCGCAGCGCACTGGCCGCGGCGGCCATTGGAGGGTGAACCAATGGCAAAAGGAAGACCTTTCTCTCTGTCTCTCTCTCTCACTGTCCACTCTGCCTGTCAAAAAAAAAGAAAAAAAAAAGAAGGAATACTTCTAAAGTTTCTTCATTAAGTAAAATGTTTATCATAGAGTTTTTTAACCTGTAAACTTTATCAAGTTTCAGAAGATGCTTTCTATTCTTAGTTTGCTGAATATGTATTAGTTATCATTCAGTGACTCTTCTGCAACTATTAAAATAACCTGATTTTCTATTTTAGTCTAGTAATACTAATTTCTTAATGTATTTACTAATTTTAAGCTATTTTTGTTTTCTTAGGGTAAATCATACTTAATCATAACTTTTTTTTTTTTTATTTTTGACAGGCAGAGTGGACAGTGAGAGAGAGAGACAGAGAGAAAGGTCTTCCTTTGCCGTTGGTTCACCCTCCAATGGCTGGCACGGCCGGCGCACCGCGCTGATCCGATGGCAGGAGCCAGGATCCAGGTGCTTTTCCTGGTCTCCCATGGGGTGCAGGGCCCAAGCACCTGGGCCATCCTCCACTGCACTCCCTGGCCATAGCAGAGAGCTGGCCTGGAAGAGGGGCAACCGGGACAGAATCCGGCGTCCTGACCGGGACTAGAACCCGGTGTGCCGGCGCTGCAAGGTGGAGGATTAGCCTATTGAGCCACGGCGCCGGCCTTAATCATAACATTTTAAATACAATGTTAGATTTGGATAGTAACATTTTATTTAGAAAATTTGTGATTTTGTTCATAATTACAGCTAGTATGTACTTTTCTCTTTTCAATTATTCTTATATGGTCTGAGAACCTATATAAAATTACTCTGAACCAGGGTACTTCAAGCTATTGCTAAATTAGTAGGTCAGAAAATCTTCTCCCTCAAAAAGCAACTATAAAGCTAAATAAAACTTACCATTGGCCGTGGCTCACTTGGCTAATCCTCCGCCTGCGGTGCCGGCACCCTGGGTTCCAGTCCCGGTTGGGGCACTGGGTACTAGTTCCAGTTGCTCCTCTTCCAGTCCAGCTCTCTGCTGTGGCCCGGGAGGGCAGTGGAGGATGGCCCAGGTGCTTGGGTCACTGCACCCGCAGGGGAGACCGGGAGGAAGCACGGGGCTCCTGGCTTCAGATTGGCGCTGCACTGGCCGTAGCGTCCATTAGGGGCGTGAACCAACGGAAGGAAGACCTTTCTCTCTGTTTCTCTCTGTCTATAACTCTACCTGTCAAATAAAAAAAAAAAAAACTTATCAACAAAACTTATCAAAAACATTCCTTTTATAACTCCAAGACTACAAAGCTCTGAATAAGATGAACTGGAGTCTGTGATGTTCTTGCTTACATGTTCTCCCTTCTTACCCCCTGGCTGAGGTGGTCTGGATTTTCTATGCAGGGTAGACTGAGTGTATCAGTAACTATTTGGCCACTGTTGAAGGGGGTTCCTAATTTGGAGTAATCAGTGACAACCACACCCAGAGGTATTTTCAGTAAAAAGGGTGATCTTTTTTTTGTTTTTTCAGTAAAAAGGATGATAACATGAGATTGTAGTCATAGTTTTGTCTAGTAAAATTTCTGACTGAATCCTCACAAATGAATATCAGAGACTTAAAAGGACCCAAACAATTCACAAACTACTGGTTGAACACAGGGCTGTGCTCATGCATTTAGAAGACACAAAATATCCCAATGGCAAGCAAATGTGGATATGAAAATGACTGAATTTTATGTCTTCCTCTACACACAATGTTTCATCTTAGAGGGAGGCTTATTTGTTTGAAGTATTTGTGCACTAAGCTACAAAGGGATAAAAATCTAGCAACCTAGAGTTGAAAATTAGCAACAAAAACATTTTTTAAGCACATACATTGGCAACCGCAGATTATGAGAGACCAAGATTTAAGAGCTTTAGCCCAGCCAAAGAAACAAGAAAACAAAAATTAAGATAAATTGGTCATTAACGGAGACATCATAATTCTGAGTACCTACAATATATTATGTATTAATGA